TTTAATAAAATTATAATTACAATTATAATGCTTTACAATAATCTCAATCACAAGCTAAGTCAAACCACATGGTTAACAAGACACCATTCTGTCATTTCCACGTGATTGCTTCTACTCCCCCTTCGTCTACAATTCTAGATTTTTCTAATTCAATTGGGGTATTAATTATTGTGATTATCTTAACGTGTTGTTAATCTTAGTCTTTGGTCCGATTTTTCAAACCCCAAAATGTTTCTCAGGCGAGCAACACCAACTCTTGCCCTGTAACTATGGCCGTCTTTTTCTCTTGAAGGATCCCGCAGCTGTCCCGATCACAGCGCAACAGGTTCACCAGAAAAGAGCCGTGTGGTCCGGCTGACGCCTTATTCCATACGGTACCTTGCTGACATGGCAATAAGTGAGACCACCATGTCTTATCGATGTGCCCACTTTCTTACCTATAGGTCCCACATGTCCTCTATACGCGCTACAAGCAGCAGACAAATGACTATTTTAGCTGCACAACTATCCCCGTGAGCGTGCGATTTAGAACTAATATCATGGCTTCCTTCCATCTATATATAAAGGCACATCATCTCTTCCTCAATTCCCCTCATCCCATACACAATACATTTTCCCCTTAATCTCCTAAACATTTCTTCTTGTGGGTGCTTTTCTTCTTTCCTTGCAACCTACAATGGCGGTCGATTCAGCTCTCTCATCTCCCTTTCGCCCTCCTAAGAGCGAGAAAGACGATAAAGCTCTTCAATTCATTGAAGAGATGACAAGAAATGCTGACTCCGTTCAGGAGAGGATTTTGAGAGAGATACTGAGCCGCAATGCTGACACCGAGTACCTCGGGCGGTTCAAGCTCAACGGAGCCACTGATAGAGATTCATTCAAGTCTAAAATCCCAGTTGTGACTTATGAGCATCTCCAGTCCTATATCCAACGTATCGCTAATGGCGATAAGTCTCCTATCTTTTCCGCTCATCCCGTCTCTGAATTCCTCACAAGGTGAGATATAAACTGTCATTATATACGATTTTTTTTTTTTTTGGGGTGTAATTTGTTTTTAATCTTGAATTGTGTAATTCGCAGTTCTGGCACTTCGGCTGGAGAGAGGAAACTGATGCCTACAATTCGCGAAGAGTGGGACCGACG